ACTCGGCTGCTTCCTCTTTCTCAGTACTGTGTTTCAGAAAGCTTTACACTTGGTTACAGCCAGTGGTGGAAAGTAACTCTGTGCATTTAGTCAAGTACAAACCTGAAATACTTGGTCAAGCATTTAAAAAATGACTTTAGTAAAAGACAGACATTTGCACCTTGCATTCTGGGAAAATATGACATATAATAGTGACACATTTCAGACTACACAACTGATGAAGTGAACAACCTGCGATGCCAGCTCAGACTGGCTCCACAGCCCACCTTGGTCAGGATGGTCTTCCCGTAGTTTTTCGTGCTGGTCAGGCCTGTGTTGAGGTAGATCACTCTCTGTTCGTTTGTAGATGTAGGACACTCTGGGGAATGAAAACACCACGGTGACTCCTCATTCTCCACAGTTACTTCCAGTTACTAGGCTGAAGCATCAGGACTCTACCTTTGGAGCAGAGACCTCCGGGGATGTCGGGTTTAGACGGGGCGACGTAGGCTAGACCCAGAGTGCCCTCATCAAAGTCCTGGTAGGTGAAGAGGTGAGCCAGGCAGACGTTGGAAGCCTTCCCTGCGATGTCCACACTGAACTGCTGCAGGGACACGAAGGAACAGAGCTCTCAGAAGAGACGCCCAGGATCTAAACTGTGACAACAACAGATTCGGCTTCTGCTGCTGGAAATTTCACCCCATCTTGTCTCCATCCACCAGACCGATGTGAAACAGTGCTAAATGTTAACATGTTAGGTCAACATGCTAATGAGTTCATCTCAAGTTACGCTAAGAAACATTTGTTTATTCAGTCTTTCTGAATATGTCTTAACCAGAAAAGCCTAAGATCAAAAACCTGTCAAATTAAAAGTAAAAATTCTTTTTACATCTCTTCCCTAACGTGTCCTTAAAGACTGATACGTGCAGAAGTGGTCAGAGGTGTCAGAAAACCAAACATTAGCATGTCAGCACGCTGTCCGTCAGGTCTTACCTCCAGCAGTTTCTTGACGTCCCAGACGTCTCTGCCCTCCACTGGACTTCCTCTCATGTTGAAGTGACTTTTTCCAGGAGCTACTGGGGTCGGACTCTTCTCTATGATGATCTGGCAGCCAACACAGTTGACATACAGGTGTGTCAGGTGTAAGCTTTGATATGTCGTACATGGTCGGGTTTTGGTGTCCTCTGGCCTACGTCATGTTCCTCCTCACCTGCTGGATCTGGACACCGTAACCCATGAACTCATCGTCCCATGATGTGTTTCTGTAGATGTCGTCCACACGATCAATCAGCTCAATCTGAAAGCAGTCGGGGTGGTTAGCCTCCCTGGGTGGGGGTGGTGGATGGTGATTTAAAACAATAAGCAGTGTTCAGACTGTTTGTTCTGACCAGGTAGTTGAGGGTGGTGCTCTCCTCCTCACGGCCCATGTGTTTGAAGAAACGATGGTCGGCCACCAGCAGCAGAGGACAGGTGTTCTTCCTGTGATCGTGGACCTGGCGCTTCCCCCTGAACACAGACTCTGACCAGGTAAGAGAAAAAAACACACAAACAGGACAAAGCATAAAAACACGACGAAGCCTCACAGCGGCCCGAAGTCTAAATGTAACATGGTCTAATGACACATGACACAGAAATCTGTCTCTATGTTAACATCTACTGACGGTCTTCCTCCTCATCCTCTAACGTGGCTGCCTGAATGCTGTCAGGGAGGAGGTGATGGGGGTCAGAGGTCACGTAACCACAAACTGAGGGCTGGTGCAGGCGGCTGACGTTCCTGATGTCCTCTGAGCGGTAAATCAGCAGGCGACCATCAGGGGGCGCCAACGTGAACCTCCACAGAGGCTGAACACACAGAGAGGAGGGAGGGAGAGTTAGAACGGGATGCAGCCTGACACTCTGTCTGCAGCCATCAGTGTCTGTCTCACCTCGATGTTGTACTCTGCCTCGTCCGTCAGGATGTGAGCGGAGAACTCGTGCTCGTCTATATGAGCCTGAACACGGGAGTTTTCCTCCCCTGGCAGAGCGAACACACAGTGAAAGGGTCAGGCTGCTGTTGTTCACTGGTCAATAAATCTGATGTGCAGATTGAAGCCAACAATGTGTGTTGATGTGTCTCGCCACACCTTCTGACTTCCTCCTCTGTCAGAGGCTCCTTCTAAATGTTTAAAAGCACCTCGCAGGTATTTTACAGATTAGAAAGCGTTACTCAAACTGGTTAAATCAACAGTTATATACTGTATAGGGTCAACAGACAGTGATTATGGAAACAGGTTTGTAGATGTAGCATAAAGTCTAGTAACCAAGGATGGATCAGGGGCCCTGAACCAGAGCCTCGGTCTGAAGTGGCTGGAAACAGTGTTAGAACAATCATCCTGGTCAGTTTTACCAATGACGTGTCCAATGAAGTAGTTGTGTCTGTTGACCGGGTAGCTCCGCTCCCTGCCGTGCTCGTCTCGGACCACGGCCCTGAAGTCCTGTGCGAACAGCTTGTCATTGGTCCTCAGGTACAGTCGGAACTGCCTGCACAAACAAATGTACAGGTGGCGCTCACGTTTCAGATTGATTTTAATCTGCAATGAACCTTGTTTCAGTGTTTATCAATGTTAAAAATATTTTGTCCGTTAAATGTTAAAAATGTGACAAATATAAATCCCAAGTTGTCAAAACTCAGAAGTTTATTATCTAAAATAAAACGACTGTCAGTATGTTGAAGTAGTAAAAACTATTATTTGGGACTTTGGTCTGTTTTGTGCTGATTTATCAGCTGGTTTATTGACTGATCAGTTGACTTTGAACATGTGACAGGAGAGTGTAAGAGGTGTGACCTCTGACCTCTGCAGGGCGCTGAAGCTGACCATCTTCTCCACGTGAGTCTGAGTCTGGACATCTCGGCGGCGGACGGAGTGAGTCTGCAGGCTGGACAGAGGCAGCACGTCGAAGTCGTCCAGCATTGACCGGACAGAAGCTGCACAGAAAACACAGGTGTGACCCACGTGTGACTCCCTCAGCCTGTCTGGAAGGTTTATCACCGTAAACATCAGGGTTTTCTCATCAAGATCAACATGAAACTCTCTGGGTTCAATCGTCAGTACAAACATGAGCCTCTGAATATATCTGGTCCTTTAAGTTAAAACCATCTGGGGTAAAACGACAAAAGCCTTGAATTTAGTTGTTTAAATCAGAATATTTCAGCCCCCAAATATAAACAGCGGTGTCGGCTGCAAAAACCCATCATCAGTCAGGCTTTAGTGTAAACGCCCAGTAACAGGAAGTGTCACTGGGCTCAAGAGGGCTGCCGCTATCAGTCTCTGTGGTTTTGACCCTCAGTGGCTCCGCACTGGGACTTTAAAACCATGACTTTGATTCTTTATCCCATAAATCTGACTTCAGAGCTGACAATCAAAATGACAACTTCTCTCCTAATTTTGGCTTTAAAAGTCAAATATCTGACATTTTAAGGCCACCCTATAAGGTTCGGACTTAATATCTCCTACGTTTGACTTTAACTTTAACTTCCTATTTCGTAAATTTGACATGATATGAAATAGTGAGTTGGGGAACAGATTGACTAAGACAAACATGTGATTCAGTATTTCATAATTATTACTAATCATTTTGAGACTGGTCTTAATTCTTCTTATTTTGAGTTTAATTTTAACTTTAAACTTCATAATTTTGACATAGTGTACTATAAAATATGACTTAGTGACTAAGTAGTGACTGAAACAGATTGTAATTAGTAACTAAGACAAACTGTCTCAGTGATTCTTAATTATGACTTGGAAACTCACATATTTGACATTTTAAGGTTAATAATAAGGAATCGATGGTGCACGTAGTAACTAAGCCGTAATAAACCAAAGCAGTGACTCCGTGTGTCATTATTATGACGTTAAAAGTCATAACTGTCGTGTTATGACAGGACAGGACTTGTCCTCCATGTGTCCTACAGACTTTTCGTGATAAAACGGGTCATTCTCAAACTTACTGAACTCTTCTGTGTCTGCATCTGGAGAAATGGCGGCTTCACCTAAAACCAAGAAAACGGCCAAAAAGCCGAGCTCCTGTCTCATGTTGGACGCTTCTCACTGATGGATGTTGAATCCACGCACAGGATGGACGTCAAAGTCTCCACGCATCAGAATCGAGCGTTTAACGATCGTTTGGGACAAAACTAAAGACTAAAAACACTTTTCTGGAATAAGATGGATGAATTTGGACCAGCTGAAGTTTTTGATGTGTTTAGCAGTTGGCAGAAAAAACGGCTCTAGTGAGTTAAAAACCAGGAAGACACGCGCTGTAGAGTCAAGTTGTGAGAAGCGCGAGGTGGCGGACGGAAGTAGATCTACCTGCTTTCACAATAAAAGTAGGATGTCGCTTAGCGAATACAGTAATGAAACACTAATGATGTAATTAATACTTGGAATCGATAGCTGAGGACATATGTAAGCATGGTAGACACAGTAAAAACCATTAATTAAGACATTTTAAATAAAAAATATACAAATATTTAGAAAAAAATTATTTAGCATAGTAGCATTTCTTCTTTTCATTATTATTATTATTAATGCTTTTGTTGATGTTTAATAAAACTCTTCCAGATTGTTATCGGTTGAGATGTCAACAAGCTTTATTTTGAAAACCCTCCTTTGTGTTGCGTTTTTGTTGTAATAAACTTTACAAACTGTTGAGTCAAACGCTCTGGAATCCAAAAAGTCTCTGAAACTAAGATTAAAAACGTGACTTGATGTGATTTGTTCCTGCAGCCTGAGCCAAGGAGAAACTGGAGCAGAGTGAAACATGTCGTCGACCTTCGTATGTAAGAGATTAGCTCTGAGACATCTGGCTACACTTTCTATTTATAACATGTGAGCTCATCCGAATCCGCTTTTACTACAACACACACTGAGCGGAAAAACTGTCAGACACGAAGGAGAACAGAAATTCACCGGAAGCTGTGGATAAAAACAGAAAAGTGCTTGAACTGTAAACCTGTTATTACACAACATAAACACTCAGTAGCTTCTAAATGAAAAGGTAAAATATTTCTAATCTTAGCAGCATCATCAAATGAAAAATAAGTAACAAAGACATATTAAAATGGCCTCCTCCAAATTGTTGACCCTGTTTATAAACAAGGCTGAAGTGTATGTCAATGACTTTTAGTCGAATAATGCATGAACATTATATAGATTGATGTATTATATTTTGTATGTCGTCGCTGATACTGTCAGAGGCTTCAAACGTTTTTTTCTGTGTAAGGTCAGTCTTTTTTTAAATATTAAATAAGTGAAATTACATGAATAAATTTCATCTTTGACTGCGGTGAGCGGAATAGGTTGTAGTTCCTTTTCTGTCCTGTGAGCGGCAGCAGAGGAGTGCTCAGAAAACCGGAAATCGTAAAAGAAGTAGTGGTCCCAACATAACACAAACCATCTACATGTGGAGTTGTGGACGAGCATCTGGTAGAGTGTTAAAGAAGAAAGCTTTGTTAAATCGGTTTGTTTTAGGTGAACATGGACGACGAGCATACGGTAAAATGTGTGGCATCCTTCTCTTACCTTAATAAAGATGGCGGTTAACTTTGTCAAGCTAATAGCGAAGGGGGCACTTGTTAGCTGGACGGCAAAAGCAAACTCCATTATAATCTGTTAGTTTTCTGTTCACTATCAAAATCTACAAGTATTCTTTAACACAATGTTATAAGATAAGAGTCTCCTTCGGCCAATGTAACAGCCGACTTTAATATTAACGTCGAATTTTTAAAAACCGTTATAATGCCATTTAATTAGCCTACCATTTGTTTGGCAAAGTTTTAAAAATACTTTTAAGAAAGATGGAAGAATGAGTTCAGTTAGAGACAGTGGGAATAGTAAATCGTCCTTGTATAAACGAAGTCTTGGCTGTAGGTGCAGCCAGTCTTCCAAAACTTGTCTTTACACTGAGATAGTTGCTTCATGTGTGGAAACTAAAAGTGCCAACTTTATTACAAGCCTATGTTATTTTATTCTCTTTCTTGGTTTGATTTGTGGCCGTCGGTGGTTTTCATTTGTTCCTTTGTCCTCTATATACATTAGTAGTTGTGTCTGTTAAAACCTGCTGATATTTGCTGTAATTTTACAGTTTTATGAAAACATCAAATCAATTAAATATTTCTTCTAATTACTCACATGTAGCAGGAGGAGTCCAGGTGCTAGCCAGGACATCAACACTCTAGTAAACCAGATGGGAGTCACATTTTAGCTTAAACTGCACAAAGACAACAAGGTTCAGACCAAAGAAACTCAGAATGTGTCTCTGTATGTTTTCATGTCTTGTGTCAGGCCGGGTACAGGGAGCCGTGCACTCAGTGTGCAGCCGTGGACTGGGGGGTTTCAGACGAAGGTCGATTCTACTGCAGGTCCTGCCACAATGTCATTGAGGTAAGTTAAAGAAAACAGCTCAAACTGGCATCTGATCACTCAGGAACCTGAATGTATTGTATAATAATAATGTAAAGACTTTATTGAGGTAACACGTTGACAGTCGACTGTGTTTGATGTACCAGATAAATTACTACAGTTGATTAATATCAAAGGAGAGTTTTGTGATTTTAGTTTTAAACTGCAGAGATGAAATGTTTCCTGCCTTCAGTAACGTGCAGGGTACAGGAAGCATGTTTTTGTTGCTAATAACAGATGGGTTCAAAGACCACGTTCACACTGCAGGCTGAAGTGACTCAAATCCGATCTTTTTGCCCAAATGCGACCCATATCCGATTTCCTTATGACAGTGTGAACAGCACAAATCCGACCCAGGCCACTTTCATATGTGGTCCTAAATCATGTCCCCTGGTGTCAGTCAAGCTGCAGTATCACCCTGACTCTGTACCAGTTTACATGTTCTACATCTGTGAATTTGAACTTATTTTAACATGTGACTATGTCCCAACGCCGTCAGAGAACCAGAGAGGTGGTGGACCTGACCTTCACTCCCGGCTCCAGCAGGATCACCACCATCAGCAGAGGAAGAAGAACCAAGAGGCCTGGTCAGTGTTTCGCTCCTCTTAGAGTCCCACAGTACAAACACACCTACAGTTGGTTTGCTCTGGCCTGAGTCAGTGGATCGGTTTGTAAAGGCAGCGTGTTTCCCCCTTTGGTTTGGTCTCTTGTCACACACAAAGGAGACCCTGTTCTGGGCTTGTGAATATTCTTATGAGAGAAAAACTGCAGTGCATCATTGAGTGACAGCACAATTAGCATTCACTTATAACTGGTTATTACCTGGGTGATGCCAGGCAAAAGTCTGCTTCACACAAGGAAGGTGTGCTCCTGCACACACCGACTCTCAGCCCAGACCTGCTGAGTGCAGCTGGGCCGCATCGAGGGCAGATCACAGTGTGAACGGGGACTAGTTTCACTTGAGGGGTAAGGAGGGGGACACAGAAATGGTAAAAAAATCAAGCTGCAGATTTTCCTAAATGTTGTTTCAGTTTTGTTAAAGGAGGACTTGACTGTCTGACCGGTTCCTGGTTCTGTGTTCTTCAGAGCAAGGTCGCCTGTGGATGATCTGTGAAGGTTTCCAGTTCATCCTGAGGAACCAGGCCAATGCTCTGCTCAAACTGGGAGTCCGCCCACACTTTAAGGTCCGTCCTTCTTCTGCTTCTTAAACCTGCAGGGACAGTTAATAGCAGAAAGAGCTGGCGAGAAGCTGGTCTGATGGCTGTGTGTTGTTTTAGGACGAGGTGTTGTGGCCGCTGTGGAGACTGTACCTGCAGAGGAGTGGCCAGGCCTACACCAACAACCCAGTGAGGAGCTGCGTGTTTAAAATGGTGAGATTTGCTCTGCAGCTGCTTCATTCTCCTTCCAGCTTTTTATACACAAACTATTGGAAACTGAGGAAACTGGGGGTTTGTTTGACTGCTGATTAGGGGCTCGCTTCCCAGAAGCCTCTTAGTGCTGAGGTGATGGTAAAATCCATCTTTCAAACCTTCTTATGACTGAGATGTGTTTCCCAAAAGCATCGTAAGACACCTTGGCTATTATTGTAAAACCAAGTTTATGACCGTGGTCAGAACCAGGTGCTTCACGGCCACGAAACAAGACAAAGCAGCTGCATAAATAAAATACAAGAAACACAAGTGAAGACTTGTTGCTAAGAAATAAGAACAAACCAGGAGGCACAAGCAAGTGGCTTCATTTTTATTGTTATGCCCAAAGTTACTGCAGCGAAGATTAAAATGCTACGTTTGTAGTAATTTAGGTGGAACTGCATGATGACTGTCATGATCATGAACCTGAGTTATGTAAGTTTAGTTCTTTATTATTGGATGTTTAGGTTTTATTTTTTGCTTCAAACATTTGTGAAAAGCTCAATTACAGCAGCTCGAGGGTTTGAAGGGATCCAGGTAAAACGCCGTCAGCAGACTTATACCTGACTCTGCTGCCTTCATCTGTCTCCCTAGCGGGGGCCGGACTCAGACAGTGTCATGTCTGCCAGTGAGACCGACGGAGAGACAAACCCGTCCAGCACCGTTGGATCTAATGCAGGTATAGTCGGTGGCTGCACAACCAGAAAACAGGAACTGACTGACAAAGCCAGAGGTGTGTTAGACCAGATAGACACTGTGTTATGGAAACAAACTTAGATTCAGCTTCAAGATCAGATAATAAGAAGAAGATTCAACACAGTGAATTTAATAACGTTCTTTGGTTGAAACGCTGCAGCCTGTTCAGGCAGCTGTGTCTAAATGGCACCGACAGCAGCACAAATTAAATAAACTCACGGGCGCGTGCTGTGCACTTTAAATGTACCGTGGTTTAGTCACAGTGGGGGAGACGCTTTAAAACTGGAAATGGGTTCCACTGTACACACTAACTTATTTTGTAGACTTAAAGGCTGCAGCCGGTGTGTGTCTCTGTGCACAACCCCCGTCCAGTGAACGTGGTGTCCAGACCCTGGTCCAGCTGATCGCTCTGTGCCGTAGACCTATTAGTGTGACTGAGCTCGTCCTTTGTGTGTAGGATGTAACTCAGGTGAAACCTCCTTTACTCCTCAGAGAGCTCCAGTGACTGGTCGCTGCGCTCGGGCTCGGTGGATGTCACCACCTACCTGACGGCTCGGCTGCGGCGTGGCCGTGGTCTGATGAACATGAAAAAGTGTCTGGCTCTGATCCACCTGGCTCTGATCTGGAGCTGCGAGCCACTGACGCTCAGTGACCTGCTCAGGTAACATCTGGACAGACCTGGATGACACGGCAGCTGTCTTTAGATAGATGGCTGCTGGACCAGGCTGGAAACAGTGCTGAAGAGATTTTGGATCTGTTTTTATGAACCTGATCGTACTGACCATGGTCCTCTCATGACCAGACTCACCTGACGCACCTGAGACATGTTTTCACACTGTCGTTATGTGCAGGTGTTTTATCAAGTCGACTACACAGTGAAGTGAAGGTGTGTGGATGCTTTCTGAAGCCACCGTGTAGTCATGGAGAATCCTGGAAAGTCCTGGAACAGTTACTTGATGTCTGTTTCCAGGTTGGTGAATGAAGGCCACATCCCGTATGTGAACGCGTACGAGGAACTTCCTGACGAGATGAAGCTCGATGGCAGAGATGGCCTCATCTTCAGAGTCGAGGTGAGAAACCAACATAACTCCAGTATTTAGATTTTGTTTACTTGTTGTTGTTTTTGAAACTCTTAGAGCACATTTTCCTTCACATAAGTCTGGAGGGAGAGATACAGAAACTAAATTTAAAAATGAGATCATTCAATTCCAGTAACGTTTCCAGCTGGATGCAGGACGTTCAGTGAATTTTAGTCTTTGTGTGTTTGTGTTTACAGAGCATCCCGTCCCACCGGGTGATGCACAGGGAGGCACAGACTCTGCTTCTCTTCCTGCAGCTTCCTGCTTTTCCTCCAATCAGCCGACAGAGTCTGCTGCACCCGGCGCTGCTCAGCCTGCGCTACCTGACCGACGCCAACCTGCCCGGTAACAGTACTGCTGATACTGCAAACACTCTTACTGATAATGCAGCCTACAGTGATATCAGTGACAGTACCAGCGATCCCAGTTTAACCACTAAACCTGACAGCTTGCTCCTCTTCCTCGCTCCCTCCCAGACGAGCTCCACCCGTGGGTGTGCCAGCTGATGGAACTTGCTGGTATGGCAGATGAGACGCTCCACACGTTGGACGCTGCGTCTTGCCGCGTGCTGCCTCGCTACGATGTCCAGACTGCCGCCATCATCGTCATCACCATGAAGCTGATGTTCGGCCTGGACGACCACACTGAGTGGTGAGCTCTGCCTGGAGGCTGCGTTTTGTAGTTTCCTCCAACCAGGTGTCTGTATCTCATGTAAGGTTGCAGGACGGGCAGTGCTTTATGGTGTTGGTTTGGTCTGAATCTGCCTGGAGCTGAAGACGCGTCCGAGTAGCGTTAATAAAGTAACACGTTATATCACTGCATCACCTTGGGAAGTCATATTATTGCCAAAGTCAGGCGGCGCCACCTACAACCCTGATCACTCTGTGTCTTTCAGGGATTTGTCCAATGAAGCCGGGGACCACGACGACTCAGGTGGGTTCATCTCCTCAGTGCTGATCACTGAAACACTGCCCTCATGTGACGAGAGCTCCAGATCTGTCAGCCGCAGCTCAGCACAGGTGTTAGGTGCAGCAGAGCTCTGAAACCGTGGCCCGCGTTCACATATGGATTACGGTGCAGCAGAGCTCTGAAACCGTGGCCCCCGTTCACACATGGATTACGCTGTATTGGCCTGTATTGGTTGACAATGAGCAGCTCCTGTGCCCGTGGATGTACAGAGCCACTGTAGGGAACTGCAGGTGCTGCAGCCTCTTCTGGTTTCTCAGTGATTTATGGAGGTTTTGTTTACAGTGGACGTCGGGTATAGAAAACTGTGGAAGCATTAAGTAGCACTGAATCTAGAAATGTTAGTTTGGGATGTGTGTGCACGGACAGGAGCCCATCAGGTAGCAAGCTCACGCAAACAGCAGGAGGGGATGAAAGCGAACATTTGGTTTTTGCCTATTTTCTTAAATTGGTTAAAATTTGCACCACATCTGGATGGAAACCAGATGTGGTTAAAAAAAAAAGACCTGTGACTGTTTCTTTTCTTTGCTGGTCCAGGAAACATGTTTAACCTGAGGAGGTGGTACAGACTGACGCAGGCCGCTCTGACCAGAGCTCAGCAGAGGAGAGCGCGTGACATCGCCAGGTGAGACCTCACCTGTGTTGCACCTGACAATCCTGCTGATGCCAGCGCCAAATTCTTTCTTAAAGATTCGCTTGCGGTTCTTTTTTGTCAGCAGACTTTCGCTAGAAATATCTGTTCACGTGTCAAACGACAAAAAGAGCATTAAAGCAAATCCCTGTGCGCTAACCTTTCAATTGAACACACCTGGAGTCATCGGTGTAAAGTTAAGGGATGAGTTAAGGTGTTAAATAGGTTTTTAATTTTCACAGGAAGCAGTGGAAGGCGAAGAAACCTCTCTATCCGAGCAGGTTGGAGAAAGCAGTGATGATGAAGAAGAAAAGTAAGAATTGGAGTTTGTACGAGTGTGACACTGTCTCTCTCTCTCACACACACACACACACAGAACTGAGACAGCTTCCCCCAGACCTCTGCAGTTTAGGTCAGGTGCACATATCACAGGTACCACAGTGACGTGACTTGGAAAAACGCACCATGTAGTACGTGACTAACCCAGCTGTGGTGTGTCCGTGCAGGAACCGCGGAGCTGGTACAGGCCTGTTTTGAGAAGCTGTCTTCCTGTCCGGCGGGGGTCCAGCGCTCCAACATGTCCAGCTTCAGGTTCTGTTGGGGGGACGAGGACGGAGCCGACGGGCCCAGTCTGCACCACAAGAAGCTGGATGGAGTCGTGACCCTGAAAAAAAAAGTCCTGAGCCCATCTAACTCGATGTACTGGCACCCGGCACTCACACGCTGTCACCCCCGGTAGGTCGTTGAGAGACGGCTGGAGCCAGCGGCATCTGTGCATCATTAAAGTGTCCTGTTCACTAGCATACTGGTATACTGTATATAACATGAGCTTTAACATGAAAACTGTGACTCTGTGTCGGGAGAGATTCCTGTTAGCGCCCCGAGCAGCACAGGATAAAATGAGGCTGATGTTAAAAACAGCTCAGCTCCAGCTCCTCAGGTCCTGATGGTTTCTTCTTCTTCTGCTCCCTGACAGGGTATGCAGGAGTCACTACTCGGAGGTGGAGGCAATTCTGCCGCGGTCGTTTGTCTGGCTGCTGGAGCTCTTCTCCTTCCTGCTGGACGTGAAGCCAGCCTATCTGTACGAGGAGGTGCTGAGGGTGGAGAGACGAGTCTTCGGCAGCAAAGCACCCAGAGACGGACACACGAGGAGGCCTGAGACAAGGACCAAGACGTCGACCTCAGCCAGGAGACGCACAGGAAACGGGAGAAATGATGTGAAAAACCTGCCCCCAAAGTCATAAACAAGAATAGAAACGCTTGGTGTCATAGGATTTATTTCTTCCTCTCAGCAAGAAGTGTTTGTGATGCAGGAGCCGTGTTTCCTGCGGACCCCGCCGTCGTCTCTCTGAAATCTCACAGCTGCATCAGATTTCATGTGTTTGCCTGGTAGAGTTTCAGATTAACGGCGTATTCAGCACAGCAGTTTTTCATCTTCTGTGTAGGTTCAAGCTGAAACAGTCAAATCATTTGTGAGCTCATCGAAGTTAATAAACGATTAACCGTTTGTCGTTTTTACACAAAAACTCCAACTTTTCTGTGGTGTTTGTGTCTCCAGCGTGTTTTTATCACAGTACACTGAATATTTTTGGGCTTCTGGTCAAAACGAGACAACTGGGACGAGTAAACTGGAATCAGGATTTTCTTTGTTTTTGTCTTGAGCGATTATCCACAGAGTCATCAGCAGATTATTGGATTATGGAGGTATTGTCTGCAGTACAGAAAAGTTTCACCCTCTGCTGTTTGTGCATCTTTCTGGAAAATATCCCTGATGATGAAAACGGTGTTTGGACATTTGAACACTTTGGAGACTGCTGGACATTTAAACCTGCCCCCAAAGTCATCTCATGCGGTGCAACACGGCGTCAGTGTAGGTTCACACGTGACAGTTTGTAGCTGCGTTGAACGTCACAGTCGACAAAAATGAGTCGGCATCAAATTCCAAATGTAGTCAACTGGTTTCATCTCCAGGTTTTGGCTTTACAAAGTTTGTGTGCGACTGCTTGTGTTCAGAAAATGCTGGATATGAACATGTTTATATGCCATGAAGTGTTTTGGTGCATGAACTCGCACTCGGGTGTCACAGGTTTAGTGTCTTTGTTTCAGCACCAGGTTTTATGATGAGCGCTGAACAAAAAGCTTTTGGGTAAATAAACATAAATAATTATATGAAGCTGGTAAGATGTGAATGAAAGTACATGAATGTTCTACCGGTGGGTGAACACATGCAGATGTAGGTCTGATGAGGTTTGTCCTTCACTGAGATGATTGATCTGCAGCTATTTTGATAGTGATTAGTCCTTTCAGGCACGTTACGGCTGCAGCTTCTCCACGGGGAGGGGTTTTAACGGTTTTCTCTAGTTTTACAGCTCTGAAAAATTGGGATGTTTGTCTTTTTGGACATCTGGTTTGATGGCAGCGCTGTCGATATGTCTGCACAGTTAGTCCAGACTAACACCACAGCTTGACCGGGGACTGAGTTGGAGGTCCTGTACTGGTTTCCACTGTTGCCTCTGGTGTTCACAGACATTCAGTGTCCAAGATGTGAGAAAAGAAGGTATCGACAAACAAGGGAAATGAAGGACCAGTTATCATTTGAACATAATCATTTGCTGCTGTGCGTGTCCTGCAACATTAATGGAGTCTTTTTCACTTTGGTCACTTGTCCTGATGAATCCAGAAGTGAACAGTTGTGTTTTCATGATCTCTGCCTCCTGCTTTGTCTTTGTTTTTCAGGCTGAACAGAGCAGATGTGCAGACAAAGAAACATGTGGAAGCTGCAGTGACAGACATCGACCAGCAGGCGGAGACGCACACAAACGCAGCAGGTATCATAAGTAAACAAAACAAACAGGGACCATGTTTATGTATTTACCGTGTCGGCACATATCCACACGTTAGAAAACACCAGAAACAGTCGAGTGCTGGTGGGGAAACATTACACATTACATTATATAGCAAAGAAAGACGTTTGTCTCTTCCTTTGTTTCCAGATCTGCACATAAAATATTAAATCTAAATAATAAATATGGAAATAAAAATGCTTTCTTCTTAAAACACAGCTCCAGGTCTGATCATTCATTCAGAGATGTTTTAGCCTTAATAACCCAGAAAATAAGATTTGACTCTATTGTCCAATTTGTCTCAAACCGTTATGTAAAGTATAGATTAAAAACCTGGTGCATTATAAACCAGTATCTCTGTGAACCGGTGAAGAACAGGAAAAGCCAAGAAACCAGTTTGGACACATAATGTAACTGATCCAAGTAAATGAAGCCAAACCAGTTAACTGACAAAGCAAAAAGGGGCAAAAGTTGTGAGTAAAATACCAGATAAATATGATAATACACAACGTTTGACTGGTACTTTAATAAGTCCTACAGATGGCCTTGGACACACTGTCATGTTGGACTTTGTTTAATGCACCTGACTCACCTGTCGATGAGGACACAGGCAGAACCTTTGGCTCAGTTAGTCAAACTGTTTAGTCTCAGACTTCAGACCCTGGACATGTTGAGTGAGTGGTCCGACCCTCCTACGACCCTGTGGGGTCAGGTCAGTTTGTGTCTCTGTGGTTGTTTGTGTCTTTGAACTGACCTCTGAGCATCACTTCACAGAGGCTCAGAGGTCCAGTGGGTCCTGCCACTGATCCATTCATGCTACCGTTAGCTTATCTTAGCATAAGGACAGGAAGCAGAGGGAACAGAGTCCTCAACCAGCTCCTAAGGTTCAGTTATGAAAACATTAGATCACATTTGTTTAGACTCTGCAAAAAATGAAACAGTTCCAGGGGAGACTGTGGTGCAGTGGGTAGAGCAGCCATCTCCCGACCGGAGGGTTGGAGGTTCAAATCTCAGTGCCTGCAGTCCACATGTCGGTGTCCTTGGACAAGACACTGAACCCCCAAGTTGCCCCCGATGGTTAGAGCCATCAGTTGAGTTGGCGCCGCAGATGGCTGCCTCGGTTCTGTACCAGAATCAAATTCCTTGTGTGTAACATACTTGGTCAATAAAGGTGATTATCCTTAAACTGTTCACTGCAAAAGAAGAATTTGGTGTAAAAGGGTGAGCTGTCACTTTTTATTGTGCTGACTGTGTTTGTCATGGCTGTGATGTCATTTCAGAACAATGATAACCACTGGTGCAGTGGGTAACACTGTCGCCTCACAGCAGCAAGGTTCTGGGTTTGAACCTGTACCCAACTGAGGCGTGTGGAGTCTGCATGTCCTCCCTGTGTTTGCTCCAGCTCAGGTTAGGGAGGCTGGTGACACTGAGCTGCCCATAGGTGTGAGTGTGCATGGCTGGCGGTGTGCGTCCCCCCTGTCATCGACCGGCCACCTGTCCAGGTGTCTAAAGCTTTCGACCAGTGTTGGTTGATTATTATCGTTGTCATGATTTACACTCAGCCGCAGACTCAGCACAACTGTGTCTAACAGGAGTCATCTGAGGACAAAATCAGGTGTCTGGACGCTGGAGTCACCCAGCAGCCTGTGAATGCAGCACGCCGCTCTCTGTAGTATCACCGTGGCAACATGCCCAACGCCGTAACATTGCCTAGCAACAGCCGTGAACATGGCAACCGTCAAAATAAAACTGTTCAACACTGGTCTGTGATTTAATGCGACAGAATTGGTCCAGGTGTGATTTTGCAGATGAGACGATGCTGCAAAGTTTACACTCATCAGTTTTCTGTTTCTGTTTCTAATAATAATTAAGGTTGCAGGTAAAAATCTGTAACTTGGTCAGCGTGGAGAACAAAGCCTGACGACAAGGAAACAACACAAATGACCAAAAGGAAATGGACAAAAACAATATAAATGTAACAGGACTGAATGATTTTCCAACAAACGTAGTTATAGATTTCACTAAAGAGAAATAAACGTTTAAAACTTTGCATGTAGAAGCAGACCACACTCATAAAAACGACCAGTGCCTCTCACAGTTTTGATTCTGACTGCTTTTATTTCTTTCAGGGCAGAAAAGTGTGCGTCAGGTGACACGGAGACTCACAATCCTTCAAAACATCTTGGTCTCCTCTCGCTGCTCCCGTGAGACAAACTGATGCAAAAAGTAAAAAAAAAAAACCAGAGTGACTTTAATGGAGGCGTTGTTAGAGCAGGAGTCCTCTCTGGAGGTACAGCTGAAATCATGTTTCACCATCCTGAACCAAACACATCGAAAAATGTACAATGCTTTCTGATTTAACATTAATGTCCTGATACATGAGAAACAAACAGCGGAAGTAGTTCAGTTCAAGTAGGAGTAAGGTTGTGTAGAAGTACTCTGTCTTCAGTCGGAAGTAGTTCAGTTCAAGTAGGAGTAATGTTGTGTAGAAGTACTCTGTCTGCCTTGAAACCAAAATCTACTTCAGTAAACAGTCTTACCATCAAAACATAGTCAAAGTACGGCTACCCTAATGATGCAGAGTGTCCCATTTTACAGTAACATTGACGTGTTATTGTTCTTTAATGTTGCAGCTTCAGATACATTTAAGAAGGTTATACACAGCTGTGATCAATACATTTTATCTTAATCTGGAAAAGTATTTTATTTGTCTGTTTTATATGATTGATCTGAATCTGCAAAGTAACTGCAGTAAAATAAATGTACTGAAGAAGAGGTGTAAAGTATCTTTAAATGGAAATATTCAAAGTACAGGTGAATGAAAACTAAAGTGTTTTCATATGTGTTTAGTTACTTTCCATCAGAAACTGATGTCACTGGATTAGAAAATGTAAATCCTGGTGTGTAGAAGCTTTTTTACCTCAGTATTGTCCATGAAAAGATCTAAGTAATAATGTTCTTAAAGGGTAAAATTATTGTTTGGACAGTTTTCCTCGTTTTTTCACATGATTCAACTTTACAGTATTTTTCTTATTTATTTTTTTTAAATGATCTTAATGTGAACGGAAGAGAAGCAGTGACACAAATTAAATCAAGGCCGAGATTTAGTCTGATATGTTGTTTCTATTAGTCTGAGTGTAAACCAGTGAAAATTCCCCCTAAATAAATAATGAACAGGTGTTTTTGTGGTTAAAAAATCATAGAATTAATTTCTTGAACGTGAGATACAACTAGTTTTGTTCTTCATTTGTTTGGATGAGATTACTATTATTGCTATTACTGTTATTACTGTTTGCAGTGGGACGAACATGTTTGATCAATTATTTTGTCCAGTTTCTGCTTTAAATATTAAATATTGTTTTACTCTGACGGCTTTTTAAAAAATCCTCGTTTCTGTATTTATGTGTGTATATTTGTCTTGTTTTCTAATAGAGATGTGATTATTTGACAGCAATAAATGAGGAAAATGTCAGTATTTCACCAAGTTAACATCAAATTAAATTAACAAGAAACTTTTCCTTGTTTTATTTCCTGTTTATCAAAAATAAAAAATAAATCAATGCTGCAGAGTCTCAGGAGATATTTTTATTTAAGTCTCAGTAAAACAAATCATACTTTTTATTCATCTTTAGTTTTTGTGAAAACCCAGTAAACAAAAAACGTATGTTCAGGGCAAATTTAATCTTTTTAAATGTTCATGTCCAGGGAATTAAATAAAGCATCATCTGATCTTATAAATAAAGTTCATCCTGGAGTTTCACGGGTAAAGTTCAAATTTGTGGGAAGAATAGAAGCTTTATTGATTTTATTGATTAAACAAAAATAAATGACTGTTTACTGAGTTTTGGAAATGTCACCATAAAAAAAAGTTTAAATGAACATTTTTCCACTTTTATTAGAGGCAAATATTTCGGATTCCTTTTGTTTCACCTGCCCAAACAATTAAAACATCTTACTTGGTCTGGCAACAACGTGTGAGTGAATAAAATCTGGATTTCCTTCAGTCGCTGATGAAGGAAGCAAATCCTTTTTTTACTTGAGTAATAGTACAAAATTATTAGCATCAAAAATGTAAAAATAAATGTACTCTATATGCAGAATGGACCATTTCTGGGTCCCAGAGGTTTTTCAGCATATTTGCACAAAAATAATCATTTGTGTACACGAGTTCTCGTCTGATGTGTCAGATAAAAGTTGTCCTGTCTCCAGTTTGTTAGTGTTACCAGTGACCTCAGGTGAATCAGGTGGAATCAGCCACAACAGCCACATGTGAGACTTTAATCTGTAATGACGCCTCATATTTTCTTTTTTTTTTGGTTTGTGCTGTTTCCTTAATATTTTTTCTGTCAGATCAGTAAGTTGGATCTAAATCTATAAATGTAAATCATAATTGATCATTATGTTTTTAATCTGAATCTGCTAAGAAGCTACAGTTACTAAGGCCTGTTTTATCAGAGTTGTCCCTCAGTAGTGACACAGAATTTTAAAAAAGCTCAACTAACTACAGCTACTAAAGCTGTACTTCAGCACAGTACCTGTGGAAAAGTACTTTCCACCTTTGCTTTGTTGATTGAATCCGTTACTGAGGTTTTGTGTCGTATTGTTTTTGTAGATAAAATGATAAGTTGTAGTTTTTACATTTCAGTTTATGCACAAATGCAACAAATGAGATAAAAACCTGTAAATCTGTGAACTCGCGTACATAAATACAGACCGGTGAAAACAATGAGGATGAACATGTTGGCAGAAAACTGTCAGCGGTGCATGAACAGCTGTCCTGGTAGAAGTGCAGCAGGACCCAGTCAGCGTTTTACTGGGACCTGATTCTCACCCTGCAGATCCCAGGCTGGATTCTAACGTGTTAAATGTCTGTTATTCTCACTGCAGCTGGAGCCGCATGTGTTTGCTGCCTGTATAACTGTGCAGTGCTTTACTCGTGTGGTTTGGGATGAGTTTGTGGAAAAGGGTTATTTTTGATGACACATCAGCCGAGGGCGACACAGGAAGCGTCTGTTGATGTTTGAGCGCTGCTCTGGAGTCATCCGCCTCAGCAAAAAACCTCCCATGATTCCTTTGTGAACAGTTGTTAATGTCATTATCTTTAGCAGGAAAAGTCTGTGTTTAACTCATTAAGGAAAAGTTTGAGAGACTGAATGTGGATGGACGGGATAAGGAATGGAAGAAAGTTAAAGCAGGATAGAAAAACTAGATTGGAGGAGGAAAAAATCAGAAGAAAGAAGAAGAAGAAAAGTGAAGCTGGGATAAAGGAGAATAAAGGGAAGGTGATAAAGAAGAAATGAAAAAAGGAGAGAGGAAAGATGGATCATAAAAGGAGAAATGGAAATCAACTGAAGTAACAACAGAACGAAGTGAGATGAATAAAAGTGCACTGAGTTTCCCGTCATGGCATTTAAACCAATTCTAATTAAATCTCTAGCACAGCAAAGTGTGCAGGCAGTGAAGGGGTCTGCGCATTTAGTGACCATCTGTATGTGGACCAAGTGAGTCCGGTGATCAGGACCAGCATCCGTCAGAGCAGCAGCAGTTTTCATCTCTACTGTAGAGAAACAAAGCAGCAACTTGTGGCCTCAAAGCCGAGCCAAGGCGAACTCGCTGCCCCAGCAGCCCCGTTCCAGGACGGTGGACGGAGTCTGACCTACATTCCAGTGACTCCGCCCTCCCTGGACGTCCCCCACCTCCTCCTTCACATACACTCGGTACGGGTGTGTCCCTGGTCAGTTGTAGCTGTTTGCTTTGGAAAGTCACATCTGCTGCTCTGATCAGGCTTCAAGGTTGGTTTTAGGCCAGAAAGTCCCAGAAACTGAACTCAGGAGCTGAACTCTGAAGCTAAACCCAGAGACTAAGCTTTGAACTAAATTCTGAAACTAAACTTTGAGGCTAAACTTGCAGATTAAACTTAGAACTAAACAAACTAATCTAAGAAACTAAATGCAGGACAATAACTCAGCATCATTTTGGGAACTAAACTCCGAAACGAACCCAACAAACCCCCTGAGCAGCATTTGGCAACAGCAGGAAGGAAAAACTCCTTTTAACAGCAGAAACCTATAACAGACCCCGGCTCTTCAGGAATAAATTATGGGGCTGACTTTGGGAGACTAAATTAGGATGCTAAACTCAATGACTAAACTTGAAGGCTATGAGACTAAATGGGGCTAAGCCTGGGGACCAAACTTACTGACTTGACTCCGGAGCTTAACTTGGGAACTAGATTCTAATGGGACCAAACTCAAGAACCATATTCAGGGACTGAAATGATAAAGTACAGGCAGGACTATGTTTGTGGACTAAAATCAGAAAAAACAAACTTGTGAATGAAATGAATTAAAGTTTGTACCCAGACCGACTGATGAGCAGCAGAACAAACCTTCAAACAGCTTAACCTCTATGTCGCTCCAACTTCAGCCATAAGACCAAGTGTGAGCCGTCAAAGAGCAAACTAAATATCCTAGTCTTTTAACCTATAAAATCCACTCAGTGGACAGTGTTCTGACTCTCCAACACTGTTTACAAAATGTCCTTACTTTTCAAAAACTGTTCCAAAATGTTTGTTGCCACATTCTCCAAGTTCTTTCAAAAAGTGCTCACTTTGACAGAAAGATCCTCGCTTCTCAAAAACATCCTGCTTTCCAAACACTGTCACTTTCACAAAAAATCCCAACTTTCATAAAATATTCAAACTTATCAAAAATGTCCAGTTCTCACCTTCCAAAACCTGCTCATGTTCCAGGGTCCTGATTCTCCAAAAACTCCCTCGCTGTCAAAACTCACATTAGGCTTCAGAAATGTGGGCAGTTAACCATTTCCCATTGTCTTCCACTCTGTCGGCCCAGCTCAGGTCAGAGGTAATAGCCCCCCAGGGTTCACGCGGCTTCCTTGTTTCTATGACAACAGGCAGCCAACTATCACCTCAGATCATTGTGATTGAGTGGACTCAATGGACACCGATTCATATCCCCCCTTGTCTTTGTTGGACAAAGACAACTTGGCCATCAGGTCTGAAAGACTAAACCATCAGTAATTCAGTCTGTACCGTGTTCTATCCGTCTTCTGTATCTGTAGCCTAGTCTAGATTAATGCAGAGACTCAAAGAACTGTGGGCCTCCTGTAGCTGTTGTCCATATTATAACAAATCAGTCCAAATGATTGACAACACAGTATCAGAAGGTCAAAGGTCAAAGTGTTTATTTGTCATATGCACAGTTAGGAAATGTGTTTCCCTGTACAATGAAATTCTTACTTTGCCGTCCACATGAATGGCAGAATGAGTATGTAAACAATACAGATGGAATTACATGAGGTAGATCCTGACTCAGCTGTTTAGGAGTCTGATGGCGGAGGGAAAGAAAGAGTTTTTCAGTCTAGTGGTCCTGCATTTCATACTTCTGAACCTCCGGCCAGAGGGTAGAGAGGTGAACAGTCCGTGCTGGGGGTGGGGGGGATCTTTGAGGATGGAGGCAGCTTTCCTACACACCCTGCGGTGGTAAATTCTCTGCAGAGAGGGCAGTGGAGTCCTGGTGATCTTCTCCACAGTCTTTACCACTCTCTGCTGGCGCTGGCCGTCCCCCCGCCAGTGATGCGACCTATCACTGCGGTGTCGTCTGCAAACTTTAGGATGATGTTGTCTTTGTGGGAGGAGACACAGTCGTGGGTGAACAGGGTGTAGAGGATGGGATTGAGGACACATCCCTGTGGGGTGCCAGTGTTTGTAACAATGCTGGCTGAAGTCCTATTGCCAATCCTGACAGTCTGGGGCCTGCCAGTCAGAAAGTCCAGGAGCCAGTCACAGAGGGTGGGGTGCAGACCCAGTCCAAGCTTGTGTACATAGGATATTCAGTGGTGTGGCACAAGCTGCACTCTGTCAAGAAACATCCAGTGACACAGCGCTTGACAACCTGTCACCTGAGCTGCTAACGTCGGGTGGAAGCTAACAATGACGGTGATGAGAAACTGAAAACAGAATCTTCAGTCACTTCACTTTTTACACTGTGACTAAGTTTCAGTAGGAATCAGCAGCTATGGTGTCACGCCTCTGCCCCCTGACACCACCCGAGGTAATGTAGTATTTAGACTCTTCTGCCAGGATTGTTACATTAGCCAGGATATTCTTGCATTTCACTGTTAGGCAACATTAAAATACTATTTAAAACCATGAAATGAGAACAGAGAACGGGGGAAAAACTTAGTCTGTGGCACAACTCTGTTGGTAATCACTGCAAATTCATCAAGTTTGAACTCTTCCTTCGGGTTTTTATTAGCACTACAAGCAAATCTACAGGTTGCAGTGATTCCACTGAAATTATTTGGCCTTGTTGCAAAACCTGTGGCCTGGCCCTGGGGGTTCCTACTTCTAATCCACACTCATCAGTGTTTGCTCAGGAGGATGACGTCCCCAGTTTTTATTGCAGCTGAAAAACTTTGGTTGTAGAGATGTGGATGATTCAGAGGTCTGGAACCAGATGTGTCTTTTATACTGATCATACCCCAGATCCCCAGAAGTCCTCACTGCTGTGTAGCCTTAACACTGTTCATTCTTATGTTTAAAGCATCAGCAATAATTTGGGAAGAAAGTTGAAAGTGGCCACTGAAACAAAAGTAAAGAGCAACTATAAGTTTACAGAGAGGGAAGAATGTGACACTGGAAAATGTGTAAAATCCGACTGATTCCACATATCACAGTGTTTCCCCCTGACAGTGCAGAGCACAGGTTTCAGGTCTGCTGCAGGTCCTTCCCTCTGACTTCATCCTGCACAAGTCTGGGAGTGTTTTCTGGCTGGAAACCATTTTTATCAACGGACCGCCTGCCTGTGTGTTTTCTTTTTTTTTTAACTTCACAACCTCGCTGAACTTGAAAATGAAAATGAACTCGCGTCACCCGTGCCTGCTGCCAGATCTTTTGTCTCACTTTCTTCCTGAGCTCACCTCTGCAGAACAGCATTTACAGCTAGTTCACTTTGAATAATGAAGCTGTTTATGTGTTTTGTGCACGAGCTGTGGTGCGAGCCAGGCAGCTGCTGCCAACAACAGGTTTTGGGGCAAGTAGGTGATCTGATGATAGAGATCTCTGCTGTCAATCAAACTGATCAGCGGGGAATGAATAAGCTCTTTGTCTGCCTCTCTGTCAGACAGGATGACGTATCCCCACAGCCACATATCGCCTGCACCTTCCTCCCCTCCAGTGTTCGTTCATGTCATGATGATGGTGGTGGCAGCACGGCTCCACCTCCAGTCTTCTGCAGCAGTGTGAAGGGTTAACATGCAGCCACAACAAAGGAGCCCGTGCTGGGTCAGTGTGTGTGTGTGTGTGTGTGGGGTGCTCTGGCTGCCTTCAGGCCCCGCCCTGGAATTCTTTTCTGGAGAGACTGTTTACAACCTGGATGCATAGAAGTCCCCGGGTTCATCGGCCCGGTGGGGTGGGGGTGAGGAGGATGGATGGGCGAGGACAAGGGGAGTTAGTTGGATTCTGAGAAGAATGGTATGGGAAGAAGACAATAAGAAAATAGGTTGAAGTCTCCCAGAGCTGCAGGATCGAACCTTTGTTTCTGCTCTTTGTTCCAGTGTTGTTCCTGGTTCTTTATGAGTCTACATTTGCATCTTTGCTTCTGTAACAGAGCTTAACATGCACATGTCTGAGTCGATGTGTGCAGGTGAAGGGAACAAAATTCTCAGAATTGGAACAAAAAAGACCCCCTGTGGACTTTTCCCTCCTTCCTGTGCTGCAGCTGATTCCACTTGCGGCAGGATGACTTGAGTTTCTGTGTCATGTTTTCTTGTTCTCTTTTTCTTCAGACGGAGCTGCAGCAATGTCTCTCATGCTGCTGCAGGAACCTGTCTGTGACCAGGAGAAGAAGAAGTTACTATTTTTATGATTGCATATTTATGCTTGTGTGTCATTCACTGATTCTGTGCCGCCAACCTGCCTAGTCTGCAGTGTCTGTGTGGGATGTAACTGTAGAAAGATGTGCATGTTGTTTATAACCTGCACTGGAAAAAAAAGAAATCGGACACCACTGTAGTTACCTCCCCCCCCCCTAATTCCCCGCCCCCCCCCCACCCCCCATTTCCTCATTGGCATGTGTTAACATCTACATTTTAGGAGTCTCATTCTGCTTCACCAAAACACAAAATAAAAAATATTTAAACAGGTAGATACAGTTAATCTGCAGATCATTTTCTAAATTAATCCGTTTATTCTAAATGATCAGAAAATAATGTCAAATGCTCAACATAATGTCATAATTTGACAGATTTAAATCGTCTTGTCCACATTTCAGATTAAAGAGTAAAACAACAAGCAAATATTCACACATGAAAAGCTTGAACCTGCACTTTTTGCTCAAAAATATGTTTTTTTTCTGTTTTTGTTGATCATGTAACCAATTGACAGACTAGTGGTTTCATGTGTAATCTGAGACAACTGGTTTGAAAATGCACATTTGTTTAATAACTTTAAAAAATAAATGCAAATTCCGTTTGCCACACATTTTTGAATAGTTTATATATGAGCATAATACTCAAATATTACAAAATTATTTAATCTGTTCAAAATTCAGATTTTTTTTGTCATGCTGTAGAAAAACCTTTAATTTTATTTAAAAAAATAAGAGCTAAATAAGTCGACAACACATTTTGATTAATATCTTGTTTTGTTTGGCCATAATACTGAAGCAGGTCAAAGTTCCAATTTATTTGGCAGTTCAACCATAACACGTGATGAAAACATCCAGACGTTAATCGTCTTCATGAATATTTTATATAATAACGATAGAATTGTATGTATTTCATATTTTCACCATTTAATGTATATTTTTGGAGCATTATTTTGTATCTGCAGTTGTTCCACCTCTCTCGCGCGTCCTCGTGAATTTCGCGTTCCCGTCTCGCGCCCGACTACCTCCAACCTTTCCCCCACTTTGCGCGCGCTGCCGGGTTCACCGGGTTTACTCTGACACCGCTGACTCCCCGGCCACGCCCCCAACAGCCACGCACCACGCCGGGAGCCAATCGCATTGCGTCCACATATTGATCACGCACCGCCTCGCAGCGGATTGGCCGGAGCCCTCTACACCTTTGGCCGTGATTGGCTGCGTGTTACCACCCGCCAGACTGCTCTGAAATTTGTTTCTGCCTTTTTGTTTTTTCTGTGCTCGGATTTTTTTGGCTGCTCTCAGCTGAAGCCAGTCTGCTGGCGGAGGCTCAGCTCGTCATTGACTGCTCGCTCTCCCGCCGCCGTCGCTGATTTATTTTGAATCATCTTTCGCTCGTTCGCAGCTCGTCCTCATGCTCAGCTTCACGGCGGAGCGCTGCTGCCAGGTGAGTCCTCGTCCAGGAGCCCGTGTGTGCCCCGGCTGTCCGGCGGGCTTTCATCAAACTTCTGAGCAGCTAAATGCATGTTGAGAACCGCACAGGCTGGTCTGAGGTCAGCTCTGCAGCGGCTCAGGTTGGATGCTCTGGGCTTGTTTTGGCGCTGCTGGCTGGTTTATGTGAGGTCACAGTGAACCCAGTGTCTCCTGTGTGTGATGCTTCCTGCTGTGTGTTGCTGTGTGTTGCTGTGTGTACACGGCGGTTGCATCACTGCAGTGCATGAAGTTTAAAGATACTTTGTCTCAGACTGGGCTGCTGCTCGTCTTTGTGTTGATGCTGCTGCTGGTTTCACTGGTGTCTGTTGTTTACGAGTGGAACCACTTTTCACTGGGTCGTGGTGCTTTGAGGAGGATGTGTGGTTCTTTTCTTCTTCGCCGACTGTTAATGCAGTCCTGTTGAACAACTATTGACCGGCCTGCTGGCTATTTTCAGGACTAATCAATGAATCGTTTGGTCTCCAAACCGTCGGAAAACGGTGAAAATGACCATAACATCATCCCAGAGTAACAGCTGCTGTCATCAGCTGTCTTGTTGTGTGCAGACTCCAAACAGCAGGTTGTGTTTACTCCAATAAAAGACCAAGAGGAAAAGTCAATTCCCACATTTGGGAACTGGGAAGCACCAGACGTTTGGCAGTGAAGATAGTTGATCCATTGTTTTAGAAGTCGGCTGCTGGAACTTCACTGTGAGTGATTTCTGTAAATGAGCCTGTGAATTATTAACTGTGTGAAATGTCAAAGACAATAGAGCAAAGCCTGAAGTTTTGTCCTAAGACCTGACAAACAACAACATTTACACTGTTGTGAAACGTAATCAACGTGTGTATTTGTGAAGCTGTAACATGAGCTGCCTCCATATTCATGATCTTTGTTGATTAATCTGCAGATGAGTCTTTTGGTTTGTAAAGTGACAGACGTGGACTCACAGGTGACCTGTTCATGTTGCAGTTTGGTCTGAAACCAAATGAATCCACTGCTGAGAAGCTGTATCCTGCTGTTTTTAGAACAGATTTAAATGACCAATCATTTACAACAGTTGTTTCTCATTAAGTGTCAGTCACATTTAAACATCAGCATTAGAATTGATCGGTTTTCTTTGTCAAATACTCGATTAAGCAGCTTCAGGCTGGGTTTGTTCACAAAGCTGCACCCAAAGCCTACAGCTGAGTGCAACAAAGAGACAGCAGAGGCAACACCAGGACAGGACCACACAATAACAACATGTACCAGCAGAACCAAAGTGACCAGAATAACAAAGGGACGCACACACAAACCAAAGGCTGAGGGGTCCTCAGTCAACCCGTGTGCTTTCTGGCAGTAAACAGGTGCTGTTTGATAATTAACTACGTCTGTTTAAGTCTTTCTAGTAATAAATCTGTATATGTTGTTGCTGTAATCTCATTATGTGTGGTGTGTTTTTGTGCGTGGGAACTCGCAGCTCTGAAGCGCGAAGCTGTGTGTGTGTGTGTGTGTGTGTGTGTGTGTTTGTGGCAACAGATTGACTTTGTTTTTTCCAGCTACACTTCCTGTTGGGAGCTTCCTCTCTCTCCCTCTCGGGGTGAGTGGGTGCATGATAATGTGGGAGAGGGAGGAGGGGGCGGGGCCTGTAGAGGGTTTTTGTGTTTTTTTTTTGTTGTTTTTTTTCAGGGGGTGGGGGTCTAATATCTGGCACGCCACCTCCCGTCATCTGTTCTGGGTACAGGGAGGTTCCCAGTGGGTGTACCCGCTGCAGTGAGGCCCCTCTCACTCTCTCCCTCTATGTAGGTCTCTCGCCCCTGGCTCGCTGCCTCCCTCCACCCTTCCTGTAGGTGCAGCGGAGCATTCACCAGATGCCAGCCAGCACAGCTGAGCACCCAGAAGCCCTTTGTCCCCATGTCACCTGCCACCTGCATTTATTTATTTGTGTAATTTTCCACCTCAGTTGCTTCTGCTTAGCAGCCACCTTTTTTTATTACCATTATTTCATATTTTGTGTTGTCTCAGGGCTCAGGAAGTGAGCAAACGAGCGATGTCATTGGTTATTACGTGGGTGGTGTTGCACCTTCGCTCCCAAAGGCAGAAGAGGGTCATGGGCTGTGTCTGAAATCACTGCTTTGTGCACTCGTTCACTTCTTCCTGTTAGACGGAGCGGGTCATTTCAGGCAAGTGGGGCACAGCGCCACCTTCTGGCTGCAGAAAAAGTGTTGTTTTAGCCGAACTGAGTGATTTAGAAGATGAATTCATGACAAATATCACAAGTCGTTATTGTAAGGTTCAGCTCAGTGTGGGCAGAGGTCTGGCTGTGGGGATAGACCCGGACACACACTGTCTTTGCCGTCTGATGTGATGCAGGTGGGACCGACTACCTGTTGCCGCGCTGCTGTTTGGTTGGCTGCTCACTGAGCGATGATTTGGTCGTAGCTGGCAGAGGTTTCTTTTGAAGATGAGAGCATCTACGGTCATGGTGAATGAAATGCTGCAGCAAAAATATGAATGTTTACATTTTTAAGAAAAGCTGCAGATTAAACTCCTTAGTGCCACCAGATAAACCAGACCTGGTGAATATAATCACAGGTTAACATGGAGTGGTTCTCCAGGAGCAAGTAGCTAATGCCACCTGGTTACAGAAGAAGGTTTTTGCTTCCTCTGTATTGAGAGGGGATGGCAAACAGGAACGCAGCAGGCATCTCTGGACATCATAAAACATCTGGTGGGTTTCCATTCACCTGTTTTTATGTGCATTTACAATTTGCACAAAAAAAACTGGGTGGAAATGCCTGAAGTTTGAAAAAAGGTTTTTATGCTTGGCTGAGGTGGGAAAGTGGAAATACACCTAATGAATCAATCATGACGTACACGAATCATGTGACTTAAGCCTCAGTGAAAAATGGCATGAAAAAATTTTCTGAACATAAAACGTTATCGAGCAGGACTCGTTCAGGTTCGAATAGAACCACGAGTCAGCACATTTATATCCCAGCTTTTATTTTAAAGCTGCTGCGAAAGGTAAGTTTCTTGTTTGTTAACCAGTTCATGGTGCCAGAATGCAAAAAACTGACAGAGAAAGTTGCTAAATATTTACATGAGATTTATGGAAGCAAAATGGCGCCCACCTTTTTTTATTTTAAAGAATAATATCTGCAAAATAATGTGTCAAACATTTCACATTCAAGCTGTGCTTGTGGATCTGATTTATTTTCAGACCTGGTATTTGTCATATTTGTCAGTTAATCTGCTGAGTCAGGTAACTGTTGAAGCTCTAAACTATATACTTACAAAAAACCTGCTTCATGTTCTGCATAGTTCAGCTCCTCTTGACCTTTTCCCTCGTTCCTGCCTCAGGTTGACCTCGTAGACAGCCAGGTGGCAGCGACCATGGAGCTGAAGCCGTGTGTCGAGTACCACGACCTGGAGGCTGCAGAGGCGCTCGTCAGCATGAGCTTCTGGGGTCAAGATTCACACAAACCACGCCCTCTGACCCCCACTTCTGACTCCTGCGACTCCATCCAGCTCCACTCGGAAGGAGGGGACACTCCCAAAGACTTGATCTCTCTGTCTTCACTGGTACGGACAGACGTTGAGTAGATCTGCAGCCAAGTTAGCAACTGGAAAATTCAAATGTATTGGAACTAAAACATAGGACTCAACATCAAAGTAATACATGGAAATGACAATCGACAATACAATAATGGGATTTTATCAACATTTCTGGTGAATAATTGACTTTTGTCTTATTTAAAAACTTAACATATTAATCTGTAACCTAAATATAAGCCTATGTGTAGGACATGTAACACCTTCTCTGTGATACAAATTACAAAATAAATGATTATTAACAAAAAGAAAAGATTTATTAAATATTTAAAACCAAATAACTATACTTTAACGCCTTTATTTTTTTATGATCAACTGCTTTATTGTATGTTGCTTTGCGTTGAATTTCATTTGGATTTGACTTCTGTTTAATCATCTACAGTAGAATATCAGACTGTATGTAGCTGTTTAACAGAAAATTAAAACATATTTGCTAATTGAATTAATAGAAATCCTCTCTGTTCTCTCAGTGTATGACTCCACCTCACAGTCCGACCTTCGCTGAGGCTTCCACCAACACCGTTGTCACCACCACCTCTGCTCCAAGTCCCACCTCCAGACAGGGTCTCGCCGTTGGCCCCACACTCCTCAGTGACTCCCACACCGGCCTCCCCCAGTTGTCCCCTGCTGCTTCCACCTCAGACACCTCAGCGCTTCCCACTCAGACAGACTCATCCTGTGTGGTGTCACCTGGCAGAGCCATGGTCACCAGCGTTATCCGCCACACTGCTGACAGCCTCCATATTGCTCCGCCTCTGGCCTGCACCACCCAGCTGACAGACACTTCCACACCGCCTCCAGAAATGCTTCAAGGGGAGAAGGACGGACCTCACCCACCTCCTCATAGCCCATCTTCTCCTCACTCCTCTGCAACGGTTCCTGACTCTTCTGCGCTGTCTTCCTCCTCTTCCTCTCCGGTCCTCTGCCAGGTGTTCCCAGTGAGAGGACAGACAGGGATGATCTCCGCCTTTGTCCAGGCTCCGGTCCAGGTGCAGACTCAGGGGGGACCCAAGCCCCTCTTGCCCCACTCTCCTTCCAGGTTCGCCCAGCCTTTGCTGGTGGGCTCTGCCATGCCGCAGGGGACCGTGATGTTTGTGGTCCCCCAGCAACCCATTTCCCAGCCACCACAGGGCCCGCAGACTGTCATGACCCTGGGCAACACCAAGCTCCTGCCCCTGGCTCCGGCTCCAATATACATGCCGTCAGGAGCAAGCTGCAGCACCTCGCAGGCTGACTTCTCCCGCAGGCGAAACTATGTCTGCAACTTCCCTGGCTGCAAGAAAACGTATTTCAAGAGTTCACACCTGAAGGCTCACCTACGCACTCACACAGGTAAGAGGCAGAGCCATTACAGGAAATGATCTCTCCAGAGGTCTTTTTTCCAGGTCACCTCTCTGCCATCCAAGATCACTCTGGGAGCATTTTGTTACTGTCCATCCCATCCATCCGTTATCAACCGCCTTTCTGGGGCTGGATCGCGGTGGCAGCAGGTTCATTAAGTTCATCCAGATGTCCCTCTCCCTGGCAACGTGTTCCAGCTCCTCTGGTGGGATTCCGAGGTGTTCCCAGGCTAGATGAGATATATAATCTCTCCGGCTTGCTCTGGGTCTGCCCCGGGGTCTCCTACCAGATGGACGTGCCTGGAAGACCTCCAAAGGGAGGTGCCTCGGTGGCATCCTAATAAGATGCCCGAACCTCCTCATCTGACTCCTTTCAATGTGAAGGAGCAGTGGTTCTACTTCAAGTCCCTTCCGGATGTCTGAGCTCTGCACACTTTCTCTGAGGGTAAGTCCGGCCACCCTACGAAGGAAATTAATTTCGGCTGTTTGTATTGATCTTATCCTCAATCGCTGCCCACAGCTCGTGACTATAGGTGAGCATTGGAGCATAGATTGACTGGTAAATTGAGAGCTTTGCCTTTTGGCCCAGCTCCTTTTTCATCACAATGGTCTGGTACAACATCTGCATTACTGCTGACACTGCCTTTCTCCGCCTGTCAATCTCGTGCTTGATTTTTACCCTCCATCGTGAACAAGACCCCAAGATACTTAAACTTCTTCACTTGGGGCAACAACTCACTCCCAACCCGGAGGGAGAAGTCCACCGTTTTCCAGCAGAGCACCATGGTTTCAGACTTTGAGGTGCTAACTCTCATTCCCGCCGCTTCACAATCGGCTGAAAACCACCCCAGTGCGTGCTGGAGGTCACGGTCTGATGAAGTCAACAAAACCGCATTATCGGCAAATAGGAAAGATGCAGTTCTGAGGTCCCCAAACCGGACACTTTCCTCCCCCTGGCTGTGCCTTGATACCCTGTTCGTGAAGATCACAAACAGGATCAGTGACAAGGCACAACCCTGACAAAAGCCAACACCAACTGACGTTTGACATCTTGACAATTATATGGAACAACTCTCAGTCCAGTTATACAAGGGCCAGATGGGTTGTACCAATCCCACGGGGGACCTGATCACAGGCCTTTTACACTGTAAAATGTTCTAGTCAGTTTTGGGAAAACAAAGAAAGCAATCCGATTGTTGTTAAAGTTGTGTATTTGTTTTTTTTTTTAAATTACAGTCATTAAATATGGTGCCATCAGATGTATCATTATCTCTGAAAAATCAACATTGTGTGGGTTAAAGATGATGTTTAGTAGTTATAATGTTTACCATTTTCAACGTCAAAAATCAACATTGTGTGGGTTAAAGATTATGTTTAGTAGTTATGTTTACCATTTTCAACGTTATAGCATGTTAGCATGCTAAGATTAGATCGGATGACAGCAGTGTCACTATTTTTGCAAGTATTTGGTCATAAATCAAAGTATCAGACACATTAAAATGTTGACCTAATGATGGTGCCAGATGAGAAGTCAGAGAATCAGCAAAGTTGTGACAGTTCATCATAGCTGATTTCAGTCTGGGCCACAGTGGCCAACATTAGCATCATGAACACAAGTTTGGCTAATGTACCCACTGGGTTTGCTTAAAAAATGCATTGTGACAAAGTTAAACAGAGGTGAAAATCTGTCTTCCCTCTTCTGCAGGTGAAAAGCCATTCAGCTGTCACTGGGAGGGCTGCGACAAAAAGTTTGCCCGCTCTGACGAGCTTTCTCGCCATCGCCGAACACATACCGGTGAGAAGAAGTTTGTCTGCAACGTGTGTGATCGGCGCTTCATGCGCAGTGACCACTTGACCAAACATGCTCGGCGGCACATGACCACCAAGAGGGCATCCTCGTGGACCACAGAAACCCCGGACCTCAACAAAATGGCCCCGTCCAAAGGCCCAAACAGAGGTCCCACACTTCCTGTTGGCATGCTGGTCCCCACCGCCAACTAACAGACTCATCAGGAGCCCACAGGGTCAACTCAGGACCCCAGGGGGGTCAACCAGACAACCACACACTTAAAGGCTGTAATGGGTTGTTTCAATCAGCTCCACTGGCCACATCAGGACGATCGTTTCTACTTTGTAAATCACACCTGGCTGGTGAATACAGCGAACACAGTTATGCCCTGGCTACGTTTACATGAAAATGTTGTTACTAGCATTGTAATTGAGTACAAAGAAACAAAGACCTGGTCACACCTGCAAACTTTGGTGAACTTTGATCCTCAAATTAGCACCTTTCAAGCTGCTTATCTTGTCACCATCCAGATTTAATGAATCCCCTCTGTCAAAATATGAAATTCTCTGCAACAGAGACAAGGCTCACTCATGGTTAGAAGTAATGCTAATAGTGCTTTTTATAAGTACATTAAATAACTAATTGTCCCATTAGCTGCAGAGCCAATAGGCTGGATATAAGAGAAAGATAGAAAGGTAGGAGAGCTGTTGTGCCATGATTGTGACTGATTAGTGTAAGCATGTTCCTGCCTGGCTAGCGTGTTAGCTGTTAGCTTACCAGCTGCTGTAGTTCACCAACTAGCCCTAAAAAATACAACCCTCCTTCCAAAATAGAAATCATCTGACATGAACATAGTGTCAGAGTGAAAAGTAAAGTTGAGCTAAAAAGAAATGTAGTCAGTTTATCAGGCTTCTAAATGATTACTAGTACAAAAATTGCATTAAAGCAGAAGTCCCTACTGCAGCTAGTGTGGCTGCTGTTAGCCTGTTGTAGTGTAACAATTTTCATCCTGACTTTTTCACTAAAACTCTTTAAAAAAGAAAATTTAATCTTAAAGAAATGTATAGTTGGTTGAATAAAGTAACAAGAAGAAAAGATATTAAATGTAAAGTTTTCCTCAGAATACTGAAATTAAGCAATTAGTTTCTGATCTGTTGTCCATCTATGGTACTCAGAGTAATACAGCTTTTGAATAAGATTTGAAGACTGGTTCCATTAGCGCCTGTAAGAGCTGTTTTTTTATTTTCAGTAACTACTGAATGAGCAGTCTCGAAAACAAATGTCAGTGGGATTAAAGAGCCCAGTACAGAGAAATCATAAAGAGGTTTGGGGAAATATTGTAATTGATGAGCAGTAGTATGTTCAGGGTTTACTAGCACATTAACTAGCATGTTAGGTTATCACCTAGCCTGCAAGCTTCACTGAGACGCTAAAAGGAGTGACTGGGCTTTAAGGTGTATTCATGCAGCAGTAGGTCAAATGATAAAGATGAACATATTTGTGTACCAGTTGAAATGTAGTTAAAATCAAGATATTTTGAGTTTAGTTCATGTAGATGTAGCTGGTGCAGCCAGCAGTAGACAGCGCGAGTTTCCCGCCCTGCTCAGGACATTTTATTTTCAACCAACCACAAACTCAAAGGAGGAGGACATGAAGACGACAGGCTGCTATTCATTCACGGACAGAAACCAACAAAAACCTGACATTGCACTGGATTTTTTAAATCTTGCTTGTTTTTGTACTTTCTCTGTGTTTAATCATGTTTACTTCATGTGTATAGTTTAGTAAAATGTATGCACTCTTTTTATTTTTGCCAAAGCCTCTGTATTGTGCTTTTATTATTAGCCTACTTGTTTATTTCTTCTGTAAATGTTGTAAATATATTGATATCTATATGAATGTTAAGTGTATTCCAACCTGCATTTATTGACAGTACGAGTTATTGATATTTTAAAATTGAGTGGACAGTATTCCTCACTGTGATACTACCTACTATATTTGCTTTACACATTATTATTTAATAAACATTTGTTGAGGGAAAAGTGCTGTTTTTGATGGCTTGACTTGGCCCATAGTGTAGCCAGTAAAAAAAAAAACAAACCTCATGTTATTAAATGTTATTCTTAATAATAATGGTGTATATCAAAATAATCAACTTTCTGAACATTTGCCTGTAAGCGATGGTGAATAATATGACTTTTATAATAAAAATTTACCATAAAAACAAATACTGTTTTTTTTTTTGTTTGTCCTTTTTTATTGTAATGCAGTTAATCAAGTGATATTGTTTTATTTTTGGTTGCCTTTCTAAGATTGCTAACATTGAAAACTGGCATCATTACTTGGCTGACTCTGGCTAATTGAGCTTTTCTGTGGATCACAAAACATTTCACAAGATGTACCTTAAATTATAGGCAACATTTTGAAAGTGAGATCAGGATGTGCTTAGTTAGCTTAGCATAAATACTAGAACCACGGGAGAACAGCTACCCTGGCTTTAGTTCAAAACCATACATACCAACACCTTTAAAGCTAATCTAATCAAATCAAATTTTATTTGTATAGCGCCAAATCACAACAAAAGTCGTCTCAGGACACTTTACAAAGTAAGGTCTAGACCTTACTGTTATCAGTGTTATTACATAGGGAAAACCCAACAAATCCCCCTTGAGCAAGCACTTGGCGACAGTGGGGAGGAAAAACTCCCTTTAACGGAAGAAACCTCCGACAGACCCCGGCTCTTGGTGGGCGGCCTTCTGCCTCGACCGGTTGGGGTGAGTGGATAGAGGAGAGACAAAAGAAGAAAAGCAACAAGACACAACAATCAAACACTGATCAGGTCGATGTGGCTGGTGACTGCTCGTCAGAGACATAGAGCTCCAGGGCCAGGGCAACCTGCAGAAAGGTACAGGGAGAGAGAGAGGACACACTACGGGAGAGAGGAGACACAAAGTTAGTAATGTGTAATGGTGGCATATAGAAGCATAGGGAGAGAGAGGAGAGG